AAAAACACCTCGAAAATGTCGGGCTCGTCTAATCTCGTAGCCATGAAAAAAGTGGTACAGCAGCTCCGGTTCGAGGCGAGCATAAACAGAGTGAAGGTAATTAATGTGCTTTTTGTTTTTCTGTGTAATAACGGAGGGGGAAATCTCTACCCCGAGCCGCTAACGACGCTAGCTGGTGCCAGGGGCTAGCTGCTACGTTAGCCGCTAGTCAACAGGCGTAACAGGGCGTAGCTTGGACCGAAGGGCTGAAGGGAAGTATTGTAGTCTGATAACACTGTTGAACTGAATCATTAAGCTTTAAAAACAAAGAGGAGATAATGTCCAGACTTTTAGCTTGTTACAGCTGGCATCTGTCTTGTGATTTAAGAGGGCTACACCCGGGTTTCTAACTTATCTTCATGTAAAACTGTAAACATGAACCAGATGAATAACCCTTTATTCCTTTACACAAGTCAGACACTTTTCCCTCATGATTTCACTACACAGTTTATTGTGGACATTTTTACTTTGTTAAAGTTACAAAGGACACAAGATAACTTAAAGAACTTAATCACAAGATAAAATGCTCCATATAATGAATAATATAATGAATGAGACTGTTATGAGTGTGGGTGTAGTCATGAATCCAGAGGGTTCTCATTATAAGCCGGTTTTCAGTATTACAACATCACACAATTTAAACTGTATTTGATGCAATTTGGGAAGTACCAAGCAAAACACACATCCATAGTCCAGTTTCCATGTAAATGAACACCATCAGCTATTTTAACCTCTTGCACTCCACCCCCATTTTGTAGCAAAAACGCCTAAAATGACATACCCAAATTAAAATGACTGTAGCTCTCTGAGACAAAGACAGAGTAATGGGCCTCTGAAGTCAGTAAAAAAATGAAGATTTTGCCTAAAATAAAATAAAAAATGTATTTCAGGATGAATAACTGTCTGTGGCTTCATCTGAGCAGGTAAATGACACTGTGGGGCTGTAGACACACTATCAATGAACAGTCGGTCACTCTGCTTCAAAACAGTACTATCAGTGATCAGACAACACTCAACTATCTTCAAACATTGTACCTTATTGAAATCAGGTGTGATTATGATAGCTGATGTTGTTTATGACACAGAAACACCATAAAATATCACCAAATAAAGCTATATGAAACGTGAAAGTTATGATCCCACTTTCTAGACAGTGTTTCTCAGCCAAAAATAGTGGTAGGAGTGAGACTCTTACATCGGTGTCCTGGCGGAGTTTATTGCAGTGATTTTAATTGCATTTCCATAACAACTTAAGATTAAAAAAAAAAAGTGGTCCGAGTTGAAGTAGAGATGCACCGATCCAGCTTTTTCAGTTTCGATACCGATCGTGATGCTGTGGCTTTGAGTATCAGCCGATACTGATCCTAAAAAGCTATATACCTTTGCATGTAGAGCAGAAAAGACAACTACACAGTTCTGTCCTCAGATAAAATGAAAACAGATTAATGCAATGATGCACTATTTATCTCTAACAAAAATAAACAATTGTGCAACAGCAGTTGAAAACAGTGTGAAATACGTCCACACAGCAGAGTCTCTCCTTCGCTCCGTGATGGATGACGTAGCTTACATCGCAATAGATTTGTCGGGCCGATATTCGATCCAGATATCGGATCGATGCATCCCTTAGCAGAAGGCAAAGATATCCTGTGAAAATAGAAATAAAAAACAACGACTGGCCAGCTCACCTAGTGTAAAAGTCCTTAGTACAGGCAGGCAGTCCAAAAATGTATCTGAGGCACCCTGACTGTAGTTAGAAATCATTGAATACATGGATAAACCAACTCGTTTAGACTACAGTCCTCATCAGGGTGTGACACCTTGATCATCCTCAGGGTGATCGCCTCTGTAGTTGAAACACGTTGGTTTGTCGATGTATTAATAAGGATTTTTAACTACAGTCAGAGTGCCTCTTATGCATTTTTGGACTGCCTGCCTGTACCGTGGACTGTAACACTGAGTGAACTGTTTTATCTTTATGTGACTCTTTGCCTCATCCTTGAAGAGCACCTGATTTTTTTCACATCTTACTACACAGAGCCTCAACCCATTTTTTCCTCAATATCAGTGCCAGCATGTCCTGATTCTTTTCTTAATCTCTGACATGGGCCAAGCTTTAAAAAATTGAATCATGCAATTATCATAATACAGCAGGATGTGCTACCACCTTTTTCCTGATCATGCCATTGGGCTGTTTTTTCACTCTTTGAAAAGCTCCTCAAGAGCCACAAAGGATGTTATACACCTGTTGTCACTGGCTGAGCACAGGACTGGGAAAGATATCGATATTATTCAGTTTCAATTCAGTTTTATCTATAAAGCCCAATATCGCAAACCACAGCTTTCCTCAGAGGGCTTTACAGCATACAACATCCCTCTGTCCTTGGACCCTCACAGCAGATAAGACAAAACTCCCCAAAAAACTCTCTTATGGGAAAAATATACATATTAAATGTACAGTGATCCACATTATCTTCATATCATAATACGAGACTAGATATTGTCTTAGATTTTGGATATTATGATATTGTAAGGGTTGTGTTTTCCTCCTCAGTAAAGTGATGTAATATTCTGAACTTATCGAACTGTTTAAGCGGCTCACTGAGTTGCCTTTACCCTCTTTGTCATTAAATCCACATTACTCCACATTATTTATCAATAATCTAATTTAGTGAAAGCTTCCATATTCAACCCTACAATAGTGTCATAATATCGATATCAAGGTATTTGATTAGTGCACAAACTCAGCCTATCTGTCCCTTCATGTCCCCATGTCATGATTTCCATTTTGGCTCCTCTCTGTCACCAGGTCTCTCAGGCAGCTGCGGACCTTCAACAGTTTTGCATGCAGAACGCCTTGCAGGACCCTCTGCTCACAGGTGTGTCCTCCAGCACCAACCCTTTCAGGCCGCAGAAGGTCTGCTCCTTCTTGTGAAACCACTGCATTCATTGGTGAGTCCCACACCCTGGCGGCACATTCAGGCACACACTGATACATACTGTGCTTACTACACAAAGGGTTAGTGTGATTTCTGAAAGGGTCTGAAGAGTAGATGATGTGCTGGGTAGAATTTATTTTAAGAGTCCACTTCTCTGCCTCTTAAATTTAGCGTTTGGTGAAATGAAATTCGCCGTAATGAAAGCTGCATGATTTGACAGGTGGCTGTTAAATGTTATTGGCTTCCCTCACAATAAAATGGCGACTGTGGTCAGCTTGAATATCAGTGATATGTTTTCACAGTGGGGAATAAAACATCCATAGAAATGTCTCACACATCTCCACCATGATGTCCTTCTTAGCATCTATGCCTTCTCCTAAAATTGATGAAACTAATAATAATTACTCTTTTTTTTTTTTTACGTTGGCCACACATTTTTAACATTTGCTCCTTTATTATACTGATGCATCACCAAGTATAGATATTGTAAATTCCACACCCTGAAACTATTGTTTTCCCACCTCATCTAAAAAGAAAATGGTTTGAAGCCGATGATAAAATTCCAAAACAAACCCACTTCGGTTCATTTAAATCAAATCCTCGGCCTAACCTGTGCTGTGTTTGTATCTCTACTTTTATGTTCATGTCCTGCAGGCCTTCATTTTGATGCTACAGGGAAAAGTTGACCTCAACACTGCTCCTCATGCCAAGCCATTATACTGCCACGGGATCTCTCGAGTGTAGATCACATTGGAATCATGTCAGGAAGAAGACCATCTATTTTCAGCCACAGTAGAAGAAGAAAGGAGACAGTTTTATTTTTCATGGCACAGTGTGATTTTTGAGTAAATAATTGTGCCTTTTCTATTGTTCTATTTTAGTCATCACTGTTCAGGACTTTTTTGTATTTAATGAATAAAAAACATTCTTTACTACTCCAATGTTTTATTGATTGGCATTTTCTGTTTGTTGCTACTCAGTGGGATTGCATTACAGACATAACTGTTCATATTGTGCTGTCAGGAGGATTTTAGTGTCGTCTTGAGATATTAATAGAAGCAAGTGACGTATAGATCATGAGATGGAAATGCATTTTCCATATTTTATTATAGAACAAAGAAAAAAAGATTATAAACTATGTTTGGGCCCCTCTGCCAAGTTAGTTTGCAATCTACTGCTAAACAGCCAGGGTAATAATGCTTAAGAAAGCATTTTAAATATTGTGTTCGGGATCACGTCCGATGGTAGGAAAGGTAAGTATTTCTGCTTCTTAAAATATACTTAATAGGTCATTTTCACAGTAGACATTTTGACATGTCACAGTAGGAAAAGCACAAGAATAAAAAATGGGTCAATTCCATTTAGCTGGGTTACAAGGATTCCTGGATATAGTGCTATGAGTAACACCTGTGCCTTTTCCTACCATGACAAGTCCAAATGTCTGCTGTGAAAAATGTCAATAATGGCCAATAAAAGCTTCTGTGTTTAAATTGTACTTAGAATAACGTAACTAATACTGCCAAATAAAGGTATGGTGTAAATAAAGTATAAGTGACATTATGAGATGAAATAAATGGACTTGAATGAAGGTGCTACTGGAAAATAACTATAAATTGCAAACAGACATCTAAAATGGCATTTTGGAATAAAAATTACATTTTTTTGTAAAACTCATTGAAATTAAAGTTATAAAATAGGTTTTAATACGTAATGTGAATTTCTTTTCACAATTTGTATCTTACTTATATTTATTTATGTAATTATTTTATTGAATCACATGTATTACATATTAAACACATGGTTCTCCATAGAGAAAAATTACACTAGCAAAAAATGGAAATACTTCACAGTACAAGAACCTCAAAATACTAAATCACAGCAGTATATGATCAAAACAAGATGCCTGTTAATTAAAATATCATTAAAAGAATATTGACTACTAATAATAATACATACATAACTAGCAGCCCTCAGATGAGTTATTTAAAAATCATCAATTAATAATTTACTAGTTGTTTTTTTTTTTTTAATAAATAATAATTTATAATTACAACATCAAGAAACAAGGTCGTGGAACTGAGTAGAAAAAAAATAGGGGAAAAATAAATAAATAAAAATAAATAAATAAAATAAAATAAAAATAAAATACTTACTTACTCAGAAAATAAATAAATAAAATACTAAATTAATCAAAACAGTGTGGCAGCGTCATACGCGTCATCCTCGCCCGTGATTCAACTCTCGCGAGAAGTGAACACTTCCGTGAACTGAACCCAGGTCAGTCTTCTCGTCCCGCTCCCTCAGCGGTTATAATGGAGCCGTTAAATCACAACTGACGCGCGACCTGCCCGAATGAAACCGTCCTCAGCAACGTGACGAAGGAATCATGGGACAGCGTTACTGTGGAAACGACGGTAACTTCTTTAGGTACGCTAGCATGTTGAACACGGTTAGCTAACAAAAACGACTAGCTAGTGAACCGACGGTTTGTAACATGTCCAGGCAGAATAGATAACCGCTTGTCTTGCCGTTGTTTGCAGTCACATAGTTTAACGTTGAAGCTACGTGATGCTAACCGCTCATCATCCTCACTAATGTAACGCTAGTACAACATAATAACTAGCTTGGTTTTTGTCATTGTACGACCAGCTCAATGAGGACCGTTAGTTTACTGGCTCATTAACCCGCAGCAGCAGAAAACAGTCCAAGAGTGCATTCAAGATGTTGCTCCAGCATGGGTCAACACAGCTCCTCTGCCTCACAGCCAGCAGCGGGGTCCCTCTCTTCACCAGAGGAGCCTCCAAACAGCTGCCCTTCTCTGTCATCGGCTCCCTGAATGGTGTCCACATGTTCGGGGGTGGTCAGGGAGTAGTGCTGTCCTGCTGTGAGACTGAAGGTGGAGGCAAAGTGGTGTGGAGAGTGTTCCAGGACAGTGTGATGCTCATCGCTGTGAGTGGAGGTGCACAAGGTGGTGCAGGCAGCAGCAGCAAAGAGGAGGAGGTCTGTTTACAGCGCCTCCTAGAGAATGTGTGGAGCTGCATGGTGCTGGTGTTGGGGCAGGATGAGCTGACCAGTGTCAGGAATGTTGAGAGGCTGAAGAGGGACCTGCGGTCCTGCTTCAGCCTCATTGATCAGCTGTTGGAGGAGAAGCAAGAGGGCATCCTGGGTAATCTGACCCACTGCGCTGACTCACTGCTGCCTCTGAGCCCCACTCTTGTTCAGGAGGCTGTGGATGGCTTCGCTCAGGCTGCAGACAGTGAATTTGGCTGCCTCATGGTCCATGGACGGATAGCTGCAGCTACTGAGAAGTGGTGGCGCCTGGCACCACAGGAAGTTGTGCTGCTCTCTGCTTTGATACGATCCCTCTCTGCCTCTGGATCAGCCTCTTGTGATTACCCTGTTTTCCTTCCTCAGGGCAGCCCCACCGTGGCCCACCGCCTGCTCCGCTTCCAGCTGCTCCCTGGGGCGGATGTGTGCGTGCTGTGCGGCCCAACCCCGTCACTGCACAGAGCTGAGAGTGGGTTAGTGGGTCGTTTTTGGACACCCCTGGTGGAGACCCTGAGGGACTGCCTGGCTGTTGGAGAGCGCTGCTTACCAGGATCTGTATCCCTGCGCCCTGATGTGCTGGCACTTCTTCTCATCAACCGTGAAACACGTCGCTCAGTCTCCTGTGTACGGACTTCCACTAATCACCCACTCAGTGACCTCCCTTTACCCTCCAAGGCCCACTGCTGGGAGCTATTGAAGCTCTTCTACATCTTCAGCACAACACGCTACTTCAACCAGGAGGAGACGTCGTCCGTCTCCCCAGATGAGAGTGCTCAGAGAGGAAACACTGACGACTTTGTCCTTGGATTTTCTCACCAGCCACTGCAGTGCTATCTGGTTACAGAGGAGTGCAAGAGCTATGGACTTCAGACGCCACAGCACCAGCTCTTCCTGCTCACGCCACTGTCAGTGCCCACCTTTGCACTGAGTACGGTGGCCACACAGACTCTCTCTGATATAGTTGCAGCCACTGGGTTTTAATTGAAGACTTTACTTTATTACAACATGTATGAAACCTACCATCTTTGACCTTACAGATGGATAGATATTCACCTGTAAGGTCATTTAGCTGCTCCTATTTAGATTGTTCTAATATCTTTACTGATCTAAAGACCTAAACATCAGCCTCCATCTTTCCATCGTTTGTACAGACACTGGTGTGAGATGCACAACAGAAAAGAATATCACTGTTGATGGTCTCACTGGATATTTTTACTGGACTACTGCTTAAGAATTCAACACTGGTGAAAATATGAAAACAACTGAAAGTGAACTTCTCTGAGCTTTGTTTTGCATTCAAGAGATAAGACACTTGCACAATTGTGTCTAACTGCTCTGGCTTCAAGGCTGTCCCTGTCACAGTAATAAAAACTGGTTAGACTTGAATAATAACATTATCACTAGGATTGCACTGTGTTTCAAAATGTGTCAGAGAATCACATGAAAATGTTACACTGGGATAAATAAGTGCCTTTGACATTTTGAATCATTTCGCCTCAAATATTTTGTAGTTTTAAATATAGTTGGTTACTTTCTGAGTCTTTGTGTCACTGAGTGATTTATTCACATTTTTCCTTCATCTAACGTGATAATAATAATGTTTGACAACTTTTGGTTGAATGTTTCATGGCAAAACTTAAAGATCCAGTGTGAAGGATTGAGGGGGATATATTGGCATAAATTGAATATAATGTTAATAACTGTTTTGTTGGTGTAAAAAAACAAATTGTTGTGTTTTGTTACCTTAGAAGGAGCTGTTTATATCTACATATGAAGTGGGTCCTCCTCCAAAGACTCCGCCATATTGTTTCTACAGTAGCCCAGAACAAACAAACCAAACACTCTGTGCTTTCCAATACCCATTCTACCATACTATATAGTACGCCAGAAAAAGATTTCATATGTCCCAATACATAGTATGGGACATACATAGTATATATTGCAGTATGCAAGCCAGCATGCTTCTCTGGCTATTCTGACCCACAATCCTCTGCGCAGTGGACGATACGACACATGGCCTGAGCTACAATTAGATGTCCGCTTGACAGCTGATTGACAGCTGTCAGAAGTCACAATTACAAATAACAAATGACCAGTCGAATAGTCATTATAGGAATACTAGTCCATAGCCATTGGTAGCTTTGTCACCTTCTACCTATGCCAATCCTCAATGCCTATGTGCAGTTTCACATAGATTGACCACGTCAGTGAGTAGAAAAACGTGGGACAGACAGAATGACTGACTGACAGAATGACACACTGACAGTTTCCATGATTATGTACAGCATACCATACCATGACTTAGTCATACCAAAAAGTAGAAGGAAAAAACAACAACATTGGTCCACAGGGGGAGCCACAGCGATCGGTCGCATTTTAGCCATTTTTAAGCATTTTTCTGTTGTTATAGCGCCACCCAGTTGCCAATTAGAGTTAAATTTCTCCAGTCACCTTGAGGCGTCCTGTTCTACATATCTACCAAGTTTAGTAAAAATCCATATGGCGGTTAGGCCTAGATAAGAAATGAGCTCTCTAGCGCCCCCATTTTGTTTGATGGGGTCAATAATGGAGGGGTCCCCTCAGATTATGTGTGGTCATATGCCTACAAAGTTGCGTGGTGATGGGTGAAACCCTTGAGATGTTATACACCTTTATGTGATGAGCCACGCCCTCCGCAATATTCATTGCCTTATAGAAGCTCAGTTTTAGTAAGTTTTCCAACTTTTGCCAAGAGGGAACTTTAGATATTGGTCCCTAGATTATGTTCACCCAGTTTCATGCAGATCGCTCAAACTTCCTAGGAAGAGATCCATTTGAAGTGTTTTTCAAAAAATTCAAAATGGCGGAAAATCTATATAAGCGGAAGTTATGGGTTCTTGAGGCAAATGTGTTCCTCATGAGGAGAGGCATCTCTGTGCAAAGTTTCATGTCTCTACGACATACGGGGCATGAGATATGCCCATTCAAAGTTTGACATTTCAATGGGTTGCTATAGCGCCCCCCTTTGGCCAATTGATGTAATATTGCTTCATTGGCATCCTCCCATGACCCTCTACCACTGTGCCAAATTTCACATGGATTGACCAAGTCAGTGAGGAGAAAAACGTGAAACAGACACACAGAGTTTTCGTCATTAAATAGTAAGATAAGATAAGATTGATTAAGTGAACAAAACAATCATAAATATTACAAACAACAAAAGGACATAACTATAGAAATAACAGACAGGACTGCAGATGTAATTTCACTGTCACAAATTTATGTTAGAATCTACAATCTGTGAAGTTATAACTTCAAAGCTAAACTACACACATCACAAAGTACCAAAAGCAGATCTCTCAGACCCCATTTTGGCGTCGACCACTTCAGTTCACCTACACACTTGGTAAAAGGGAGAAGTTTCAGTTCTGCAAACTTACTGCTCGATGTCACTGAATCTTACACAATGGACCTTAAACAACAAAACATAGCCTAGTTCAGTGGTCTAATATTAGCATTATAATGTAAACTCTTTGCCAATGAACGCTTGTAACTTTTTTATAATGTTTTTTTCATATCACATTTTATTGATAGCTATGGGCACGGACAGTTGACACTAAAGAGTATATAGGTGCATTCATAAGAAAAAAATGTGAAGTATGTGCCACGAATTCTGCTCTGTAACTCATTCTTATGCAAAAACTACTGTATCCTGTGAATATACTATCTGTATTCAGCACCACATAATGCTATAATAATAGTGGCAGTGACTATTGACAAAACACACCCACCACTGAATGAATGAATACTTCCAGTCATGATAATTGCAGGGTTTTGGGTTGTTACGGCTGCACTGATGATTTCAGGAAACAAACTGCGGTCCCATTTTAACTGGAAGTCACACTGAGGGTCGCTTACATCCCACTGGTTTCTCATAACAGATGCTCTGCTCTCCATGCACATGTTGGGTACATAAGTTCCTGTCAGAGACCAGGACATGATGCTGCAGTTTCACACAGGACCACCCCAGTTTAACCTTGGAAATGTGGAATTTAAACCAGTGACCCTGCCACTGAGGGACTGTAAACACTGCTGAGCAAGAGACGAAACAGTAAACTATATAGACATAATCCAGGAACAGGATTTTTTCCATAAGTAGAATGAATTATTCTATTTCTATGGATTTTTCATGGAGGCCATATTGTGTAGTTCTGAGATGTGATTACAGCATTTTCTCATGATCACTATTGTGCAAGTTAAAGCAGACTGTGTCAAAGGAATTTGCATTTCACTCCCTCAACAAAGAGGACACTCAAGTCGGCTGCAGTCTATATAGGAGGAGCATTCATAATTATTTTGTAGCCCTCAAAGTCTCCACCCAAACCACATGGAGCACTCAGAACAAAAGCCGAGGCGCGGTGCAGTGAGCCCGGGACAAAGTTGGAGGCTGCACCGGTCCGCTCGCTGGCTGATCTCCGTCTGAGCTACATCTGTTTGTCCAAAACTGTTTGCGGTAACCGGAGAACCGGCCCTGATTGACAGCCCCACGGGTGCGTAAGATAACGGAGAAGAGGGGGTGGGATAACGGTTGACATGAAGCCACACAAAGGGGAGGGATACGCGCTGTGGTTGTGGTGTTGCCATGTGTGCAGGCGGGGACCATACCCCAAAACTTCCACAGTGAGAAGCGTAGTCAGTGCATGTGGATGCAGCCAGGCTCTCTGGGATCTTTATCAATTTTTGTCCAAGCTCTCTACTTGTAATCTGAGCCCAGAGAGGTCCAAAGGTCTGAGCGCATTAGTAATTTTGAGGAGCGCGGCGCTGGAGCTGCTTGTACAACTTTAATTTCACTCCTCCCGAGTGAAGCAACCGCCGTGGTGCAAGTCGCTGTGCGCCGCAAAAGTTACTCAACTTGCTCAGAGAAAGATCGTGTAACATGTCAGCCACATGGATGCTGTCACCCAGAAGCGTAAGGCTTTTAAGCCGAGGTCGAAACGAGTTGTTTGCCGGTAGTAGCGGTGGAGCGCAGCGGCCCGGCCGGGGTCCCAGGGTCCGCTCACTCACCTCTCCCCCTCTGTCGTCTTCCTCTCCCGGCAGAGCCTTATCCAGTCTGAGTGCGACGCGGCGTGGGCTCCCCAAAGAGAAGATGTCCGAGAATGGAGTGTCGTCCCGGGCCAAGGTGCTGACCATCGACACCATGAACCCCACGGTGAAGAAGGTGGAGTATGCCGTGAGGGGCCCCATCGTGCAGCGGGCTGTGGAGCTGGAGAAAGAGCTCTCTGAGGTTTGTAGTCTGATCTTAGTGTTTATACCATATGTGGACTATACTGTGTGTCTGCTGTCACACTATGGGAAATGCACCATGTGTCTGTCTTTCATTACATCACCCTGTTATAGTCTCTCTCTCATGGATAGACTGTGGCAGAAAGCTGTGTACCTTTTAGTGCACTAACATAAATCAGATTGCCCAGAAGACTAGAAACTTATCACTACATATCACTCTATCAGTCAGGAGCTGCCACACTCACCTGTTTATATCCACCTGAATCTCTTGCAACTGTAAACCTAAGTTGGTCTTAAAATCCCACTGATCACTTGGCAGATTTGATTCACCCCACAGGGGCCCTGTATGCTGATTTACTGCTGATAAACAGTTGGGACATAATTGCACATCAGCAGGTCCCCACTCCTGATTATATTCTCACTATTACCATCTAAACATTATTCCAAAAGGAAACTGTGTGTTATCACCTGCTGTGTTGCTCACACACCCTCTTATCAAAGTACATCAGTTAGTCAGTACTTCCTGAGGACACTCATCATGTCAGGAAATCTGTGCACCAGTATGATGTTAATGTCTAACCTGTTTTTAAAGCCTATCTGTAAACCACAGCTGCTAATGGAAAGATCCTCAAGAGGAGGTCAAACTCCATAGTCTAAAACGGTTTTCCCTTTTGTGTCTCACGTCTGACCTCGTAGTGATGCAGATAGCCTATCTGTTGCCACACTTCACCTCTCACAGTCCCGAATGTTTTTATTGCAGAAACTCTCAACTGTTTTTCAGCCCTTACGAGATCGATAGATAACGTACCAATGGCACCCTCGTGTGTGTCCCCTTGCCATTTTTTTACACTTCTGTAGTCTTAGTTATGTGAAAGAGCAACAAAAGTGGAATGCATTAGAAAGATATTAGGCATGTATTAAAATACCAGCACGCCTCGTCACAGAATACCCATAACACAATGCAAGTTGCATCAGTTTAATTAGCTGCAAGTGACATTGAGCCTTAACAAAATATCAAAGTCAAAGCTCAAAATAAAGTGAAACACTGCATAGTGCGCAGAAATCTCCTCTCTCAAATGATATACAATGATAAAATCTGGATGTGAAAACTTTTCAAGGGCTCCCTGCAGTGTGCCACAGTCCTCACCCTGAGAACAACTGCACTGTTGACGCTTTTATTTAAAGGGTAAGTTTGATTTTTTTTAACCTGGACCCTATTTTACCACATTTTTGTATCTTAATGACTAAGGCCCTGTTTAGACGACAACGGTTTCTCTAAAAAAGTCTGTCCTTTGCGTTTTAAAAAAGGTCTGCGTTTATATGACGACGTTATTGAAACGATCCCCGTTCACACGGAGCAGCAAAATCTACTGGAAACGCTGTAGTATGCACGCCAGGCCGATGGGTGGCAGTGTAAATTTGCAAAGCAACACGCCTGCACTGAAGCGCCTTCCTCTACAGCACGGTGATTACAAACCAAAACAAAGAAGACACAATGGCGAAAGCACGCACAGATAACTTTGTCTGGACGGACAGCGAGGTGGAGTTGCTACAGTAGATCTACACTTTGCTGGGGAAGCGTTGATAAATTCAACAGGGTGAGCAGCACAAACAGAGCTCGGCATTGTTGTTGTGACGGTCAGCATGCCTAGTGACTGGAACAGTAATGCGCATGTGCGAAAAGTCTCAGTTTTCAGAGGAACTGCATATTGCAAGTTTACATGACAACGGAGACGCTGCCGTTTCCAAAAAATGCACTCTGGAACCCGTTTTCAAATCGTTGTGTTTTCAGGCACCCAGAATGTCGCTGTCATGTAAACGATTGGCCAAAACGCAACTAAAGTTTACCGTTTTCAGTTGAAATTGTTGTCGTATAAACGGGGCCTAATAGGAACAACAATTTTTGAAAGTATTGAGGAGACCGCTGTGGACAGCAATGGTGAAACAGGCTGCTGCAGTGTAACCACTTGGGGCACGTTCACACCGTCAATTTACATCCACTTAAAGTGCTTGTTTTGCCACTGACAGGCTCATATTGTCACACAACTTATAGAAAAGAACCCTATAGAGATAAAACTTTTTGTTTAACTAAATTCTGATTTATGTTGAAGAAGTTTCTGTCTGTTAAAATGAAATCTGGTGGGTTTGGCAGTACGAGTTTTGGGCCTGTTTTTGGTTAAACAAATAGGATCGTAAGGTCTGACTGTGGGGATACTTTCCATAAATCCATAAAAGACAGGGAGAGTTAATAATATGAACATGTCAGGGGCAAAAACAAACACTTTCAGCAGATGTAAATTGACAGTGCCAATTGACCGGAGTGGATACTCTGCAGCCTGTAATCGCAGCAGCCGTGTGCAGTGGTCTCACACATTGTCAAAGGTGGTGTTTCCATTAGTCATGTAGACACAGAAACATGGGAAATAGGGTCCAGGTTAAAAAATACCAGACAGCCAGGAAGGACGCGTGGACTGTTATCTTTGTGGTGAATGGTTTGCTGAGAAGTTTAGAAATCAGGGATATCTATTTTAGGTTTTCAGCTCTTGAGTCCAGCTCTTGTATAAAATAATTGCTGCTTTTTTTAAAGGGCCGTTTTCCATCTTATTGGCATTATAAATACAGCCCATTGGTGCATCTCTCTCTCTTTTTTAAAGCTGTATCTGATCCCGTCCTCTCACACAGTTTATGGTGATGTGGCAACCAGCTGTTAGTGTACTGAGTGCAGTCTGGTGTGAAAACTGTCCTCTCTTGAGTGCTTTGCTCAGGAAGGGACGAGTATTGCGAGCAGGTTCTTGCTCAGGTGAAAGGGCCAGCTGGGACTGTAATGACAGTGGTGACCTTTTTAACCAGATGGTTCACTGGCACTAAAGATTTTACGTTCTGTTTGCTCTGACCAATGCTTACCCTCAGCTGATCTGGGATATTTATTTTTTTTTCCCAACTGGGCAAGAGTTTGAGCGGGCGTTATTGAATTGATATGTAGATGTTAAAAAAGCAGAGGAAATTGTGGTTGGATTCAGCCGGTGAAACCCAGTTCATATACTGAGGGATAGGAGTATTTTCAGCAGAGGATAAGATAATTACTGTAACTCTTACAACTACAAATGATCGTTTTATTTATCACATTTCCATCTAGGACAGAGAAAGCGCTGCAATTTCTTTGTTTACTGACTGCAGACTGTCCCGCAGCCACTCTTCTCAATAGTACAGCACCCAGTCAGAAGACAAAAAATGTACCCCAAGTAGTCACTTCCAGTCCTCCCATCTTAAAACTGTTGTTCCTTTGTCAGAAACACATTCCCCCTCATTTTACGAGCTCCACTCCCACGGTCTGGATCGTGTTGCATTTCTTTGGAAAACAGGTCACCATGGTATTCTCACTTTCATCCACGAATTAAAACACACACACACACACACACACGACTGCACACTGTGATACCGTTCTCCGGTTTCCGACACACCTTGTTTTTTGGAGCTATCTTTGCTTTTCATTCGTGGTACAAATGCATCCTTGTTCCTGTTGTTTTCCCCAAATACTGGAGCTGCGGTAGTTGTTAGAGTTTCCAAACAGGGACCAGAAACAAAACGGACTTTGAGCCAATTTACTGTACCAGTTAATAAGTGCTCAAATAAAGGCTTCACATGCAGTTATGACATTGTGGTCTTTGTTTGTCCTAATGAGCAGCTAGCTGATAGTGAATGGGGACATTTAGACCAAGTCGCTGTGGGGACAGACTGGAGACGCACAATGATAGTTGTTGTCACAGTCTTTCCACATATTGTGCAAGAATGAAAACCCATGTGCCAACCTCTAAAACTGTTTTCCATTGTAAAATCTTTATTTTTGCATTTCACATGCATTGATCTGAATATTTAAAAGAAGAAATGACACAGTCACATTCTGCAAAGTGTATTTTCTTATCTTAGTTTTGTTTCCTTGTGCGTTTAATAGCCTGAGCCACAGCGTTATCAACAAGGGCTTTTACAGTTGTACGTCATTAATGAAATGCTTTCTCTGTAAAGCCTTGGGAGTAAAAAGAAATACTGTCTGAGCTTTACATCAAGAGCGCAGTCTGAGCTCCTACATTGTGTGCTGAGCTGTTTTATCAGTGATGGAGGACAAAAAGCACCGGCCTTTTCGAGTTGGTTCTCAGGAGCAGAGGTCAGTGTGATTCTAAAAGATCCTCCTCATCAATGGGCGGTACTTTTGACCCTGGGGTGTTATTCAGCCGGTGTATTGTCATTGGTCCAGACTGGGAGACGCCTCTAATGTGTGACCAATGAGAGAGCCGGAGTATTAAGCCTCCTGAAATCTGAACTGGATTGGGCAAATAAAACAAACAGACTGTTTTGATTTTAGCAGCTTGTCAGTATGGGGCTCCTTTTCTGCAGTGTCACGCTGTCCTGAACATCTGGTGTTACCAGCATGTGTATGTGCTTGTGTTAGTGCACGTGGCTGCCTGCGTTGCTGTTTGCCCTCCGTCAGTGGTCTCAGCTGCTCAAGAGATCATTTTTCAGACATATTATATAATTGGCTGGGAGGACAGTAAATTAATACCTTTAATAAATGATCCTCATTATATCTGACGTTGCTGACTGCTGCTTTGCTGTCATATATCCTGTCCTCTCTCAGGCTACACTAAGGAGGTTAAAATCCTTTTGTGTAATGCATGTCACTGTGTTTATGTGTCAAAAGGTTAATGGTATCAGGGTGATAAGGTAGTTTGCACAGGTTGAAACTTTGTGCGTCATCAAGTCTGCTGCAAATTGTTTTTACCAAACGATCTCTGTCTGTGCTACAGTGTTGCACTATAACCTCACTTATTGATTTATTGTTCCATGTAGAATAGATGTATTGTCTTGTCATTAACTGTCAGTAACTAATCGTGCTTCACTTTATGGAGTCTGTGAGCATCAGAAAGTGTGTGTGAGGGATAGAAACAAAATTAGTGTAGCGAATGAGCTGTTGACACCTTACGTTGGCTCTCCTGAATAATCATGATAATGAGTAAGGTATTTCTGGGGCACACTTTCATGCATGCACACAAACATGAACAATTCTTGGGCCCCAAAGATTTTTCCCCATACACTTTGACTGGGAGAGAAAGGTCTGTAAATCAGTAGATACATTTTTCACAACAGCGAAATGACTCGACTGATCCATTTGGTCTAGTGACATTTCACAAGTTTAGAAGAGCTGCATGATTAAATTATTTTATTCCCATTCAAGTTAGCTAAACTGGAAGTCAACAGCTCAGCCAGCGGAAGTCGTCTGCTCGGCCCATTTTAGTGTCTCTACTGTGCTTAGTGGGCCCCACAATGCGGACGATCTGGGCAATTTCATACTGCAGAAATCAAGCATTTTGTTTTCATGCGCCGATGAGGAATGAACACGGCCCTGCCTCCAATGCTGTATCCATGTCTCTTTAAAACACATTTTGTGTATCCTGGAGGCCTGATAAACTCGTTGTATGCATTGTCTTCCCTTTGTAACATTGGTAAAGACTTTTTTCTGGAGGAATTTTAAATCTGCTTTGTGTACGTCATAGATATATAAAGAGAAGTGGATACAGGGTTGGAGGCAGGGCCCCACTCATTTCTATGACAGTTGCTCAGTCGCGCATGAAGCCAAAAACTTCTCAGGTATGAAATTACCCAGCTCTTGTGCATCATTGGGCCCATAGAGCAAGCACAATAGACACCAGCTGAACTGCTCACTTCCTGTTTAGCGCTATAAGACTTTTGAAATGTGATGATCTGTTCTTTGCTTTTCGTCTGTTGTTTTTGGATAAGTATCTTTGTACTTTTACTTTTTAAAATAATATTTTCAAATGCACAAATGGAAACCTGACACATTTTTGGAACTGCAGCTGCACTATAATTTGAGCATCTGTTCATAAAAACAAAGCTAGGAATTCTCTTGCTCCTTGCCTTTGTTGCTGCATTGCTATGTACACCTGGGCATCTGCGTTCTTGTGCACGGAATTCTTGTCAAACGGGGACTCACTCATAAAAAAGTATAAAAAAAAAGAGACTGATTCTTTTTTTTAAATCACATTTTAAAATGTTTTTATAAAGTACTGACTAAATCAAATGAAAATTTACCTAAAAAAGGAAAGTTAACTTTTGAAATATGCTGTAATGTATAGGGGTCGACAGCCTGGCCGATTATCGGGACTGATGTCATGAATTTTTAGGGTTATCGGTATCTGTGATTTTTTTCCACCGATATGCCGATATTAGAGTTGTACAGATACCGATACCAGTATCGGAAATGCCTCCGATACTGCCTAAAATGCGGTAACGGGTATCGGTGAGTACAGCCTATGACCAATCCAATACCACATAATGCCTCATGTCATTACGCATATGCACGCTACAGGCAAAAAAAATGGAAACGGAGCAGAGTTTAAAAAGCATTCTACTGTAGCCTTTAAAATGTCCTTTTTACCAAATTGTGGGGCTGCACTTTAACCTGTGTCTTGATCTGTGTCAACACTGGATAATAATGATAAAGTTTTATGGCATTCATTCTACTATTATGTATTTATTTCTTAATATTTTACATAGAGTTTTAGGAGTTGAGACATACAACAATTCATATCCCATCCATTTTTATTTTACGCGCTGGTATCGGATCGGTACTCGGTATCGGCAGATACCTAAGGTTCAGGGATCGGAATCGGTATTGGGAAGGAAAAAGTGGTATCGGTACATCTCTAGCCGATATACAGTTTTGTTTTCCTTAGCTGCGCTGTTTTGTTTTGTTTATATTCTGGCAAAATGTAATCCTGTAAGACAAACATGCGGGACATGGTACAGAAGAGATCTTATTTGGGTTTGAGCTTTGTTTCTTTCTACACCTCAGTGCAGGAAAGTCAGTCCAGCCAACAGCAAATCTAATCTTTCCCTGGAAGTGGTTATAAGTAAACCACCAAACCTGCTGTGCGCTCAGCAGCTGCTGCGCTCTCAGCCCCTTGTGGTGTGAATGTTTATGAAAAAACTTAGGCATGTGCTTGATACTGAGTGTGGGCTCAGTGTCAAGGTTGTTTAGGGGCAGTGTGTGTTCTCAGCCAACCACAGGGAATCATAATGACTTTATGTCTTGTGTACAAAGTGAATAAATTCTCTCATCGTTCACACTTTTTTCCTGTTCTTCAGATGAGTAATAATTTCTGTATGTTGTGTTTATGTCCTGCAGGGAATGAAGAAGCCCTTTGCTGAAGTCATCAAGGCCAACATTGGTGACGCTCATGCCATGGGCCAGCAGCCAATCACTTTCTTCCGACAGGTCTGCTCCTAATCCGTTCCCCCAACCTCTCATCTAAATTTAGCACCTCCCCTCTGACTTGTGGGTGTCTATGAAAGTGATTTATTCCTCTTTAACTAAGTTGGTGTCAATCATTTTCCTCCTGTCGTGTGCAGTAATCTGCACAGGGTTTTGCATAATGTCCCTTTTATCCGCCTTTTATCCTCACACCTCTCTTTGTTTCAAGGTCTTGGCGCTGTGCTCCTACCCTGAACTGCTGAATGACAACACATTCCCAGAGGATGCTAAAAGTAGAGCACGCCGCATTCTGCAGTCCTGTGGAGGGAACAGTATGGGTGTGTTGGTTTTCAAGCACAATAAGCTTTGTGTAACCCGAGCTGCTAATTACCACCTCTCTCTTCATATGTGTGTGAAATGATGCTTTCTGGTCGAGCTTTGTTGTCTCAAGGCATTTAAGTCGTCATAGCAGTTTGTATTGTCTCCACATAAATCTCCCTCAGGTTCCTACAGTGCCAGTCAGGGCATAGACTGTGTGCGCGAGGATGTGGCCCGCTACGTTGCGCGAAGAGATGGCGGTGTGCCCTGCAACCCAGACGACATTTACCTCACCACAGGGGCCAGCGATGGCATTGTGGTACAAAACACGTCACATCTGTTCAACTGACTTTATGTCTCTGTTGTACTTTTAATCACGCATGTTTGTAAGTTAAAAATTACCTGATGTATTGATCTTTTTGAGGGGTCTCTGACCACAACATTTAAGTGACGAAACACTATTTTGGAGTGAACCCTTCATCACTGGGTTCAGTCTTTTCACGTCACTTCATGTGAGCTGTAACGAGCAGAAAAACAAATAGCAATTATTCATGATCAACTAGATAAAAAAAGTGCTGAAATTAGATCATTGATGTCCAAATATTTTGGCTCATGACCCTTTAAAAGTCAGGTATTCAGCATGTCTTCAGGTCCTTAAGTAGTTTTACAGTTTCTTAGATTCAGCTTCATAAATATGGAACCTAAAAAGTCATTGAATAGTCTCAAATTTGAATTTGTGAGGTCTTAACCCTTTGAAGCCTGAACAAATTGGCTTGATTTCTTTAAAAAAAATATGGGAAGAAGGCAATGGACAATGAAATAAGAAATTATATATAGATAAAATTAACAAGAAAAAGTGAAAATAAAAACAAGAAAATTTGTAATAAAAAAAAAAAAAAGTTAAAAACATGGCCTGGAAAGGGTGCTCAAAAATTCTAAGAATTCTGTAACATAATTTTAAAATGTAATAATAATATTAANAGAAAATCTCTTTTTAAAAAAAACACAAAAACAAAAATAAAGTTAAAAACATGACCTGGAAATGGTGCTTAAAAATTCTAAGAATTCTGTAACATAATTTAAAATGTAATACTAATATTACTTTTTATCAATATAGTTTTTTTTTCCCCTGTTTTTTTTTTGTTTTTTTAAATAATTTTCTTTTTTTAGTTGCAGTTTTCTGGGACATTTCTCACCAAGTTGCTCAATGCCTTTTTCCCTTTGTTTTTGAAAAACATCTCCCCAGTTTGCTCAGGATTCAGAGGTTTAAATAGTAATGAAAGGTGTCTGAAAGCAGCACAAGAAAAGTGATATCGCTCCAGGTTTCAAAGGGTTAATCGGCACAAATATTTTATCTAATTTATTTTTTCCATCTTTTAATATATTTTGTCAAAATGAGTCAAGCTTTTCTGCGTTAAAGTGCACATTTCTGATGTTAAGTCTTTAAACGCATCACTGACCCTTATACTGTTTTTTTTTTACTTTATACTTGCGCTCAACTTTTGGCTAAATATAGATGAACCTAACTTGCTCTAGCAGCCATATTCTTACATAAGACCTACTTCTGCTCAGGATCACATTTATATTTCTTCCCTCCATACTTACCTGCAATGCTTGAATACAATGATTTGTCCAAAAATCAATCTTAAATTTGGTTAAAGTTATCTTTAAAATGTCTTCAAATGCATTAAATGTAATTGTGTGATACCAATAGACACCCTCACATACTCACAACTTCTTTACTTTGTTACAGAACGATGCCTGCTTTTCGTAGCGTTTCATTTTAAATCAGTTCTAAAAGAGTCCAACTGTCCAATAAAAAAGCAAAAATTTGAGATTTTCCCTTTAACCAACTGAACTGGAAACTGACTGCATGTTGTGTTCTATAAAAAGAGAGCTCACGTGATGCTGTGAGGTCAGTTTCATGCAGAAAACACAGACGCAGAGCATCAAACTGAAATTCAGAGCAGTAAAACTATATTTATTTCCTCTGTATGACTCTAAAGTGGCGTGCAGACAAAGCTACAGTGCACATATAATCCTTAAATGTGAACACTGTTACACTGACATCTCTCTCTTGACCGCCCTATCCTGCACTCTTAGACCATACTGAAGCTGCTGGTGTGTGGCGAGGGTGCGACCCGTACAGGCGCCATGATCTCCATACCTCAGTATCCGCTGTACTCGGCTGCGCTGGCCGAACTGGGCGCCGTGCAGATCAACTATTACCTTAAGGAGGAAAAGTGTTGGAGTCTGGACATCAGCGAGCTGCAGCGTGCTTTGGATGAGGCCCGGCGCCACTGCAACCCCCGAGCCCTGTGCATCATCAACCCTGGAAACCCCACTGGTAAAGTTTCTTTTATTTATTGTACTAATGAAATCCTGTCAAATGAGGCGCTGAAACCATCAAAGGTCCAGAGACACTTACACACAAAGCACCCGGGATGTGTTGGGAAGCCAAAAGAATAGTTCCTAAGGAAAAGGGACGGGCGTCAGGCACAGCAGAAAGTTATTACATCATCAACAGCTGACGGTGACGTAACACATTTACAGCCCTGTTTATTTTTTCTCTTTTTGGTTATGTTATGTGGCAAATCAGTCCTCGGCAATTATTTAACAACTGGAAGTAAAAGATTGAGAGCCCCTGCTCTAAACCGTTCAGCCAACCGGACCCAGGAGTAAAGTTACTTCAGATTAGATCCTCTCTGTATGAGATTCTGTTTCCTCACACTATTCCCTGCTGACCGAGGAGCCACTAGATGGCAGCAGACGGACATAACTGCCTGCTGAACCTCCACTTCAAACCTTTCTCCTTAATGAGCCTCCCTCTTGTTCACAGGTCAGGTTCAGAGCAGACAGTGCATTGAGGACGTAATCCGATTTGCAGCAAAGGAGCGTCTCTTCCTCATGGCTGATGAGGTGCGTTCTCTCTGCATCGCTCTCCAAATCTACCTGCTTTATTTTTTGGATTCTGTGACATCTTTCATTCTCCCCTCATCCCCCAGGTGTACCAGGATAATGTGTACGCTGATGGTTGCCAGTTCCACTCTTTTAAGAAGGTTTTGTTTGAGATGGGGCCAGAGTACTCAAATACAGTAGAACTGGCATCTTTCCACTCCACCTCCAAATGCTACATGGGAGAGTAAGTCGTTTTACTATAATGCTGGGGATAAATCCGTCAGACCTTGTTCGAATAATCAGCTCTTTGTGTTTCCTGTAACTCTCTTTTATTTCATTTCTTGCCAAATGTTGATGTCACATCCTGATATTTTCTCTCCCTCTCAGGTGTGGTTTCCGCGGAGGCTACATGGAGATCATCAACATGGACGAGGAGGTGAAGGCCCAGCTGACCAAGCTGGTGTCTGTCCGTCTGTGTCCTCCTGTTCCTGGACAGGCTCTGATGGACCTGGTGGTCAACCCGCCGTTGCCCGGGGAACCCTCGTATGACAAATTTATGAAGGTACAGACTCGTCATCTCACAACCTTTTTTTTAATTTGCATTAGGGGAGGGACAAGTAGTATAAGTGACTTATTTATGAAAACCTTCCAAACTCATGACGTCTTGTAGGTGTGAAATGATCTTGTGTGTCAAAAAATTCTTTGTTTACGCCACATCTGTTTACTTGGACATATCTTGTACAGTATCTGACATGGCCATTTGTGTGTCTCGTGAAGCTCACAGAAGTCTCAAGAAGTTCAAGCAGAAAACTTTGTTAGGAAAAAGCCAGAGATACACTTGGTCATTGTTTCACTTCCAGCTAGTAAAACAAAACAGGGCGGTGACGTTCCAGAACCGGTGATTTCTCTGAACTGTAAATGTAATATTCACGACTGTTGTGTATGGCTGGGCAGTATATCCCTATCACACTGATGTTGTGGTGTAAGACTCCATACCCTCTTTGATTTGGGATATATTAAAGCAACACAATGGAGGATTGTGCTTTTTACCTCACGGGCTCCCCCTACAGACGAAAAACGGTATTGTTTGTTACAACTGTTGCAAAAAAATTCTGTGCGTGCATTTGTTGACAAGCCAACGATACCAGTGAACTTCCTGAAGCTGGCCGTGTAATGCGCAATGGTTATCGTGTCTTCAGAACAGGTAAAGTAGCCTTATAGCATTTTGTACTTACACGATTAGGCCGATTGCTTTATTTATTGCTACTGTACGTAAGTGCGATAAAACCTCTGCCAGCCAAGCCAATACTTTATCAATACATGTGATCAGCATGTAGAAAGCCATATTTCAATCAGTCTCTCATTCAGCTCTATTATGATTTACGATCGCGGTTGACACAAGCACATCGCGCTCGCGGTGCTAACAACAAAGTGTTAAAGACAAACTAAATGAAAGCTGTCTGTATGTAGGCTAACACTTTATCTGAACATGTACCTGAGGCAGCCGACCTGCAGACACTGAGGCTCCTCAGTAGAGGGTAACAGCAGTAGCAGCGCCAGGTCACCATCAGTCGGGCGTCACTCCTCCTCTTTCAGCTCTCGCCAGCGTGTGAAAGCCGGGCCAATATTAATCCTTGTTCGAGCTTTTGTTTTATCGTTTTCTTTTCTTTATCTCCTCGGACAACACCTTCACCTTCTTCGTTTTCTTTGTCGCTTCAGCCATGACAACCACGTCTAACTTCGTTCACCTCGGTTCGGCTACGCTACTCTAAAGAGAGGAGGGGGATATGACGTGTGCCGTAAAGCAGCCAAAGTTTGTAGTCTTTTTTTGTGTCTGGGTTCCTACCCGAACCCAAAAACTGCATAGTGCCAGTGCAAGTGAAAGAGACGCTCTCAAGCAATGAGAGTGAGAGCAATGAGAGAATGGAGGTGTCATCCAACCTATTGTGAGTTGATGCACCATCACAAGGATCTTGGATATATATTTTGAGGGCTCAAAAACTCCATTGTGTTGCTTTAATATTGGACGTTTTTTCCTTTTCTTGGTTTTAAAGCTACAGTTGGTAACATTTACAAAAATAGCTTTTTGTCATGTTTGCTAAACTGTCACTAAATTCACACAGTTGCACACAAGATGGATAGTATGGGAAAAAAATCATGTTCCTCCTCCTTGTAGTGCTTCTGACGGCATTTGCTAGAAACTAGCACGGCTGTTGGAAAACAACCACTCAGAGCTTAAGAATCTCTAACGCAGCTGTCAATCATGTTGGCCGCTGCTTGTGAACTGCAGTCAAACTGTCAGGCGAGGCAGCGCTGATCAAATATGAATCAAGATTCTGTTACTGCGTTGTCTATTTCTGGCTTCAAATGTTTGCACAAACAGATTTTAGTTTCTGTTTAGCTTTAAAATGAGAAAGTATGTGACCTGGCCGGGGCTGAGCTCTCGTCTTGTCTGTTTGTGAAAGTGTTTGAGGCAAGAAATAAACAATACTGTACACAGAGAAAATTATGCACATTTACAGTAAACTGCTTTTTGTAGCAATGTGTTACATGTACTGTAAAACCTGGTTAACTGTGATCCCAAGTTAATTTCTGTCACCTGGCAGGTCATTTGCAAATATAGCAGACATCACAATAATACCATGTCATTGTCCAAATTTGTGGAATATACATTTTATACATGTCTGACAGATTTTAATATTTGAATGAACCATTTTGCATCATGCAATTGCTCAGACAATGACAGACTGCGTGTAATTGTAAAGAGCCAAGTTTACTTACTCTTTTGTGCACATGTGCCAAAACACGTGCAGTTTGCTTGAATGAATAAGAAATTTAAAATCTGTTCTGAACAACAAATTAATTGTTCAGAGATCTGAACTTATTGTTTTGGAAAAAAAATAATTCTCATTTAAGTATTGAGCCAAGGCAAATGAGAAAATCCCTAAATACTGCTTTAGGATTTACAAAGATAAATACCTGTGGCTAAGATTTTCTCCAGACCTCGCTGACCATACTCAAGATTGCTACAAGAGATACATTATATTAGTACTAGTCCATACCCATTGGTAGCTTTGTCACCTTCTACCTATGCCAATCCTCAATGCCTATGTGCAGTTTCACATAGATTGACCACGTCAGTGAGTAGAAAAACGTGGGACAGACAGAATGACTGACTGACAGAATGACACACTGACAGTTTCCGTGATTATGTACAGCATACCATACCATGACTTAGTCATACCAAACATTAGAAAGACACAACAACATTGGTCCACAGGGGGAGCCACAGCGATCGGTCACATTTTAGCCATTTTGAAGCATTTTTCTGTTGTTATAGCGCCACCCAGTTGCCAATTAGAGTTAAATTTCTCCAGTCACCTTGAGGCGTCCTGTTCTACATATCTACCAAGTTTAGGAAAAATCCATATGGCGGTTAGGCCTAGATAAGAAATGAGCTCTCTAGCGCCCCCATTTTGTTTGATGGGATCAATAATGGAGGGGTCCCCTCAGATTATGTGTGGTCATATGCCTACAAAGTTGCGTGGTGATGGGTGAAACCCTTGAGATGTTATACACCTTTATGTGATGAGCCACGCCCTCCGCAATATTCATTGCCTTATAGAAGCTCAGTTTTAGTAAGTTTTCCAACTTTTGCCAAGAGGGAACTTTAGATATTGGTCCCTAGATTATGTTCACCCAGTTTCATGCAGATCGCTCAAACTTCCTAGGAAAAGATCCATTTGAAGTGTTTTTCAAAAAATTCAAAATGGTGGAAAATCTATATAAGCGGAAGTTATGGGTTCTTGAGGCAAATGTGTTCCTCATGAGGAGAGGCATCTCTGTGCAAAGTTTCATGTCTCTACGACATACGGGGCATGAGATATGCCCATTCAAAGTTTGCAATTTCAATCGGTTGCTATAGCGCCCCCCTTTGGCCAAATGATATTGCTTCATTGGCATCCTCCCATGACCCTCTACCACTGTGCCAAATTTCACATGGATTGACCAAGTCAGTGAGGAGAAAAACGTGGAACAGACACACAGACAGAGTTTTTGTCATTATATAGTAAGATAGTTGAGCACATGTGTTACAGATGATGATCTCTGGTTAATTTTCTCTTCTCTCTGTCTTCTCTATTCTTTGTTTTCTCCATTCTCTCTCCCACATCCAGGAGCGCACAGCCACCTTAAGTGCCTTATCCGAGAAGGCCAAGCTTACAGAGAAGGTCCTCAATACCGTGCAAGGCATCAGCTGCAATCCTGTGCAGGGCGCCATGTACTCCTTCCCTCGCATAACCATCCCTGAGAAGGCCGTCAAAGAGGCCACGGTCAGTCCTTAACCTATTTGAATGAGCGTTTCAAATTTGACTGTGTTGTCGCTTCAAGGGAATTACATTGATGAGGAGCAAATAGATGTTACAGTTATACAAGGAGTTTTTACTCATCTCCCACTGATTGTTTGGTCCACTTATTTTTGTCTCACTTCTTTTTTGTCTCTCTGGCCTCAAAAGCCCACGATGCACTAATACTCATATTCCACTTAACACAAGACCAACGTCTCATACTCTATGCTTGATTAAATAAGTCTTTAACCAGGTTCAGTACACTGTGCGCCCACCACCCTGTTTGCTAAAGGGAACAAATGATTTTCAATAGCTTGTGGTTTCAATTCTGTCTCGAGGTTGACTGCTCAGTAGGAATTTCAGGGGAGGGCTGATGAGCCGGGCGGCTGAGAATCTGATTAGCCTCACAGAGGATAAGGTCAGACTACAGCTGACCTGCTAACACCTGATCAATCCCAGTGACTCCGCTCGCTATCTCGATCGCACGGTTGTAGCATTGCTTTGTTTTTGGCTCTGCTTTTCACTAAAACAACACATAAAGACAGAGCTCCTTTAACAACACTCAACATTAGCATTGGCAGTTTAAATAGAGCTGCTGTGCGGTCCATTGAGCTTTTTCACGATCACAATACTCAGCTACATCTAAGGCTGAGAGACACTTTAAAGGGGATTTAAAACAAAAGTGTTTGCTGCAGAGGAAATTAGACACACTTCACATTTTCTTTACCTCAAATGAACACTCATCTCATTTTGTTTTATTTACCTCAACCTTCAGTTATCTTACTGAACCGCCAAAGAAAATGTCTTGAACTCTGAAGGGCAGCTGTGCTAAATAACTCTGAAAGACACCAACAAAAGGGAGAAAAGGTTGGCGTGAAACTGTACAATACAAATTTCACTGTGTTAGTATTAACACAGTGAAATTAATTAACTTGAGGAGCTTTTGAGGACTTGATTCCAGAAATCAAAGCACTGTGTAATTAATTGTGATCATACACGTTATGTTAGAAGCACAGGAATGGACTGTTGGTTAAAAGCTCTCTCTCATTTGGCCCAATTCTGCTTTAAGTGGATTTGATTTTCTACAATTTGAAAATCCCTCATGGTAAATGAATGTAGGCGATACTGTGAGTCAGCGCTCTGTTATAAATATAACTAATATTCACAGCACAACTGCACTTCACAAAAAATACTACTTGAAATATTCCCATGCCGCCAAAATATTAAGCCTCAAACAACACTTAAATGTTTCTTTTCCTCTGCGTTAGGACAAAGGTCAGCAGCCAGATATGTTTTACTGCATGAAGATGCTGGAGGAGACGGGGATCTGTCTTGTGCCTGGAAGTGGCTTCGGCCAGAAGGATGGGACCTACCACTTCAGGTACTAACATGTTGTAAATATATCTCTCTTCCAGGGCTGCAGCTGACACTTTTATTGATTAATCTGCTGACTATTTTTTGGATTCAAAGACTGTTTGCTCTTTAAAACGTCCTCTTTAAAATTACCATATTACCATGATAGGTGCTAATTGATTTTCTGACTGTTGACGGATTGATTAATCGACTAATTGTTTCAGCTCTAGTTTCTTTTGTCACTAAAAAGGCCTTGGACGAGTGTCTACTTATTCCTTTGTGCTAGAATAAATGTGATTGTGAATGAAAGCAATAAATTGCAAAGACAATAAAGCCCCCACAAAATATTTGGTAACACTTTACTTGAAGGTATCTACATAAGAGTGACATGACACTGTCATAACTGACATGACACTGTCATGAACCTTCATAAACATTATGTACATGTCATAAACATTTATGACTGCTGTCATTAAGTGTCATTTGTTTTTTGTCATGACATTGTTTGGGTTGTCTTGATTATGACAACTTGACATTAATTAAAGTGACATTACCAGAAGTTGTCTTTGTCATGACAAGTTGACATTAAATTTGTTTGGGATATCCTTATTATGACAACAAATTCAATGTCAACTTATCATTACAAAGACAACTTCTGGTAATATCATCCTGGTTAATGTCAAGTTGTCATAATAAGGACATCCCAAACAAATTCAATGTCAACTTGTCTTGACAAAGACAACTTCTGGTAATGTCATCCTGGTTAATGTCAAGTTGTCATAATAAGGACATCCCAAACAAATTCAATGTCAACTTGTCATGACAAAGACATCTTCTGGTAATGTCACTTTGATTAATGTCAACTTGTCATTACAAAAACCGAATGACACTTAATGACAGCAGTCATAAACGTTTGACATGTACATAATGTTCATGACAGGTTCATGACCGTGTCATGTCAGTTATGACAGTGTCATGTGACTCTTATGTAGATACCTTCAAGTAAAGTGTTACCAAATAGGGTAATACATTTTAAGTCCTGTGTGAGATTTATCCCAGCTTCATATGGGTAGAGGAAAAGTCCACTAGCTGCTAGGTTAATTTATACAATGGGATGTGTCAGAGGGGTCCAAACCTTTTTGAATGAGCGCTCAATTAGATAATGTGAAAATACCTGGGGGCAGCTGCTTCTGGCATCATATGGGTTATTAAAAATATCCCATACAAAAAAGACAAAGCAGCTGTTTCATCTTTCAGTGAAAAAGTAGTTTCCACTGCATCTGAAAGTGGCGGCCCTTGCTCTTCACTTTATGCTTCTTAGCTGTGGCCATGTGTGCTACCTAGCAGGAAATATCTGCAGTCAGGTATCTGTTCAGTTTACTGCGCTTATGAAAACACATTAGTTCTGCCTGCATAGTTCCTACTTGATGCATGTCAACAAACTGTATGATAGTCCTGCATCATGAGGTGAACAGAAAAAATTCAAAGTGACCTTGTTTGATGAACCAATATTGTGTGGCGGGACACTTAGTTTATTTTGAACAACAAGCCATGGGCTGTTTAGAATCAGTCCGAGGGCCATGATTAGCCCCCGGGCCAGACTTTGGACACACCTGGGATATGTCATAAGCTTATGCTGATAATGTTAGCCTGTTGTATTTGTGGGGAAAACATGTCTAGCAACAAACAATTGTTTGAACCTTGAGAGTTATAATGCAGCAGAATTCTGTACTTTTGTTTAATGTTTTGGCCACTAAACCATGTTTTACGTGCTTGTTGAGAAACTCAACACAGTGGCATGGACACCCCGTCGCCAACTAGAGTTTTGGCAGGGTAATTGCAGAGCAACGCAGATACACCAATGCACAAGTACAACATAAAAACGCTCACATTGGCACTAATAGGTACAGTGAGGGCTCTGTGTAAAGCCGACATACAACTATAAATCTGCCTTCTCTGACTGCAATTCACTATGTTGGTCTCACGTCTGAATGAGCACCTGAGTTACTTTGAGGTGAGAGTCAAGAGAGGCTGAAAAAAAAGTCTGACATTAATAATCAAACAGCTTCTCTTATATTTTTAATTTTCATTTATGCATGACAGGCCTCGCTAAGCAGGGCACGTAATTGATAACAGACCTGTAAAACAGGAGAAATAATAAAGCAGAGGAAACTTGCTGCAGTTCATTTAGTTGGAATTTATTAAACACATTGTCAAATGCTTTATGTCTTATAATTAAACACATTTGTCCATAAACAAATAGGGAAATAAATCCACATGCACGCAGAATACACACAAAACTAACCAGGTGCACGGGAGCTGTAAATATGAAAAACTGGAGCTAGCTCTACATTAATCAGGGAACAGGAGTCCACCATTACCCACACTCAGAGCGAGGACGTCTCCAATATGGCAGGCCTGGAGTAGCCCACAAAAAAAAAATACTGCACCTACTCAGGACAACAAAAGTTTGTCCTGGGTGCATCAGTACAAATGCAAACTAGAAAGGACAGCAGAGGAGACAACTGCACACTTTGAGCACCATTTTTTTGGTGCAAAGACACCTCAGATTTTGCATTTATCTCAGCTTGTGGACCCTTTTGTGGCTTTACTGCCATGTTATGCCGTTATGTTATCATTTAGAAAGTGCGTCCCGATGCCTTTGTTATGTGTCACACCAGAGGCAGATGCTGTTGACGTACACGTCAGTCCCATCACGCCTGTTTGGCTTCCTGAACGCTGGCATGCAATATAAAATGACACACTGGAGAGGCAAGAAGGTGGCGTTGTTTGATTCTGTATAAAAAAGCAAATCTCTGGCTCATGTCCTGATCAAGGGGTTATCTCTGGGTCTGAAAAATGAAGTCAGTGCTCACGGGTTTTAAACCTGCATTCTTTCTAATGACCAGCAGGGGGTGACGCCACTGGTCCAGTTGTATAGAAGTCTTTGACAAAGTGACCCTACTTCTCACTTTATATATTACCTCTGTAAACATTTTTCAAGTCTGGCGTGGCTACCTTGTGATTAACTTTAGCTCCTCCACAGCTCCACTCTCTCGTCCAAACGTGGTCACTTCTGGCCTAAAAAAGATGATGATGGCCAAAATACTAAAGTCAAGGCTTCAAAATGGGAGTCCACAAACCAATGGGTGACATCACGGTTGCTACATCTGTTATTTTTATACAGTCTGTGGTCTGCAGATCAAAAAGCTATCACTTCAACAGTTGTGTAAAGCCATCAGTGTTACTTATTCCATGTCTGAAGACGGCTTTGAGGAAGAGGATGATTGTTGTTTCTTAAAGGAGAAGTCCGGTATTTTGCACTTTGAGCACCATTTCTGGGTTGTTTATGATGAAATAGAGTGGTTGAGACCAAAATCGTGACAATTGCTCATTTTTGGAGAATTTGTCTTTCCCCTGCCTGGCTTAACACTGCTGCTTATGGCCATGTGTGAACCTGTCTAAAACCACCCTGAACGTTCATTTTCAAAGCCATGAAACTCACCGAGTGGTCAGTGGTGTTCATTGATGTTCTGACATAAAAATCGTAGCAAACTGTGGTGTCAGTGATGATTTATTTGACATTTTGTCTTCCCCATTGGTTTTCTATAGAAGCCTTATTGTCCGTTGGTAGTAATCCACCACCGGAAACAGAAAGGGGGTTGTTTACGACAAGGTTGTAGTCATTGTAGTCTTTTAGCTCAGCAAAAGTGCCGGCTCGACAGTGCTGTGTGCGCTCCTGGAGGAAGAACGAGAACGAACAAAAAAGTTTTGTAATACGTTTTAACAACTGCACAATGGATTACTCACTTGTAAACAACCTTCGCAGTACGATGCCTTTGAACACAACGCCAACCTTGTTCTTCTGCTTCTTCTCTGTGTCCCATTACATTGCAATGGTTTCCTGCTGGTTGGCGACACACACGTAAAGGAGCATTATTGCCATCAAGTGGGCTGGAGTGTAAAACGCTTCAGGGTCAAATGAACAATCAAGGGTTTGCTGAAAAAATAGTTCCACAATCGAGATGAATAGTGAAAACACAGATGGAAACCACAGTTTTTCATCACAAAGAACCCAGAAATGGGTCTCAAAGTGCAAAATACCGCACTTATCCTTTAATGTGCCTTTTGGACTCTAGTTATTGAGTTACTTTCTGAAATGACTCTTAAGCTCTTCCTCAAAATCCATACTAATCTTTAACTTTTAGCCAAAGCATCTGCTGATGTTGCATCACTCACTTACAAAGTTAAAGACTGTTGTTTTTCTTGTCTCTCTCCCTCCCAGAATGACCATCCTGCCACCGACAGACAAGCTGAAGATCCTGCTGAACAAAGTCAAGGAGTTCCACCAGAAGTTCACACAGCAATATTCATAAGTTGCCAAACTTGTGCCTCTATTTCACAAACGGGGAGGAACCCACCGACCACAACCAAACAAACTCAGCCAATCAGAATTTATCTGTCGCCAATAAGTGCCTTTCCTACGGACGCTCAGGTGGTCTCTGTGATGACGCACTTCAGCCTCCACAGCTATCTCATTTGGACTTTCAGACAGTGTCCAAGGCACTGTTTTCTGTTAGAAAGCAAAACTGGAAATGAAGGAATTGTTAAGTTTGGTATGAAAAAATATGGTTTCAGCTCAGAGGGATATATATATACACATATATTTGTGAATATGAGCGATAGGCTGTTTATGTGAATACCAAGCTGAAATAAAGCAAGGTACAACTGAAGGAAAAGGTGATGCTGCTTAAAACTTTTAGTGCGCGTACAACTGGATAAATATTCCATTCCTGCAGGCGGTACCTGACAGGGAGAATACACAGAGAAGTCTCCATTTGCATGATGATTCAGAGATGATTTTGTAGAATCAGAATAAATGTAACAGTCGGTATTTTGTCTTGTTATTTTTCGACAGAGCTGTCAGATGTGTTTAGAGTTTATATACAGACAAAGAGATCTTTTTACTTCTGTCAACACTCGTGGAAAACTTGAGGCAGTGGTTGTGGTTCCTCTCAATGCCTCACGGTCTCATTGATGTCACAACATGTTACAAATGCATGATTTAACATTAAGGGAGAACTTAAGCACTAAGAGTTTAGTCTGATATTTGATAAGACAACTAATATTTTCCCCATTTTTAACCTCAGTTTTCATTCTGAAATGCAACATGAACATTTGGTGATTTGTCAGTTCCATCTCTGTGTGAGGCCAAAGAAGTATATTTCACTTACAAAATGGAGGGTAAAAATAAAGTGAGAATATGTAATGTTTGACGGGAGAGAAAAAAATCCTCTGACAAATGAAAAGTTTAATTCATGAGTAATAAAATGCAACCTTTGCTCAACTCATTACACTCGGACTGCTGCTGCAGCCTTATTTGGTCAAGAATCACGAGAGCCTATGTGTACTTTACCTTCTATTGATATAGCTGATGAGGTAAGTGGACTAGAAATATCTCGTGTTGACAAGTCGTGTTTAAGGTTCATCCTGTTTATTTGAGGAGTAAACAACATTATCATTGTGAACTTTATGGGGTGGTAATGATTGCTCCAGGTATGAGGTTGACTCTCAGGTGTTCACAGGGAAAGACTTTAGATTTGTACTGCAACATACATAAAATATAAATGACTGTTCTTTATTTTTTTTTCTTTGCCAAGTGACCACAACCTGCATACGACAGTTGCCTTTGCAACAGCCGTTAATCCCCGATAATAGACACCTTGTTGGCATTATCCCTTACGTATCTGACATTACGTCATTGACTCATTGACTCCAACATCATAGGGTCTACCTGTGCTACTGTTACACTACATTATGGCATGTCTCATATAAAAATCATAGCATCTTTTAACATTTCAGGGGTATTACTACAAAAGCAGGCCGAGCCAAGAAATTATTATTTTTTATTCCTTTTTTTCTCCCCTTGGGAGCAAAACTCAGTATTTACATATTATCATCTTACAAAGTTGTGTTTCATATCTACACAGCAGTCTCTGAGTAACATTATCATTAATTTGGAGTCATGTCTTTTACCTCTGTTTTGGTCTCCACCAACTCCTGATGGAAATATCTGGCTATTTAGCAGCTCCACTATGCTCACCTGCTAGTGCTAGTTTGATGCTGTGCTGGAGGCATACAGTGGGTTTATTGGAGTCTTTATTTTATTTTATTTGTTTTAAACAAGGTTGAAGAGAGCGGTAAGAGTGGTAAGAGTAAGCCACAACATTAAAGCTGCAAGCAATAAACCCAAGACAGGTTTATAAAACTCTGAGGGAGCTGAGGGAAACTGCAGTTTTGAGATAATTCTCTGTGGGTTTGTCGCTGAACGACCTGTCACATCACACACAGTAATTTTATCCATTGTTAAAAGAGCAGTGCAGGGGTGATACTATGTGTAGGCTTACCTGGATGTTAAAATCGTCCTGGTTCCCTTAAAAAAAGCCAGTTCTGGGGTATTTACTGATGTGTTTTTTGCCGTAGAACAAAATGTGAAAGTCTCTTAAGCTGACAGAATTCATTTCAGGAATCTAACCAAAAACCTATTTTAAAAAAAACACCCACCGACTTCGAGGCGAGGGTAGTGCAAGTGCTAAAATGCTAACTCATTTCCAGGTTTTCAGACTCTTTGCTGCAGTACTTTATATATTTATATACTAGTGCAGCTTCAAAGCAACTAACTGAAATAAATAAAAATGGATACACATTTTAACTCTTAATATTTACTGTTAGTACAGAAAGGCAACAGCAGCAATATTGCCAAACCAGTGCACGGGTTAATTCTCATAAGGGGAGGCAATTTCCACTCCAGCAATAAAGACTGAGGTTGCTCCTCAGATGTCACACACACACACACACACACACATCTGTGAGACGGCCAACTGTCTGCTGAATCTGTCACCTTCAATAATGTTGTTCAGCTTGATTTCAGTCTCAAAATGCTGTACGTGTTGATACAACTGCCTTTATTGTCTCTATTAATCTGTCATCTATTTTATTGCCTCGTATGCAGTTTCCGAGCAAGCTGGGATGATGGATGGTAGTGCAGGTTGTGTGTGAGTGTGTGTGTGTGTGTGTGAGAAAGAGAGAGAGATTGAAAGACAGTGCAGAAAGTGTGTTAAAGTGAAGCATGTAGTTTGAAGGTGTTTTCTGCTCTCTTCCTCTCTACTCCACAGTGGCTGTCAGCTTTAATTATCTTTGACAATGGGCCTCCTGAATCCTAATTATACAGAGCCTTGTCTTTCCTGGAGCTCCTCACCATTCACTCCAGCAGCATGACGCGCTCACACGTTCCAGTCCTCTTCACCCTAAATTAATTGGGTGCGTTTGCCTTTTTTTTCATCTCCTGACATCTTTTGGGAATCAAAGGTCGTCATTAGTTCGGGTGAGGATGTAGGGCGACACAGAGACAGTCATGCATCAGGCAGCAGCGCTGTCATGTGGCTGTCCTGGTTGTGAGAATGACCGGTCTTTGTTCACTGTGCACAGCCTTATAAGAGGAGATTCATATGACTGACTGACCTGAACATCCTATTGAGACTCGGTAGTATTTGTGAATTGACAGTTATATTGTGTTCATTATTCTGTGTGTGAGGACAGTGATGACCATAAGAGTCTTTTAGCTGGTTCAGGTCTTCAGTTTGGCTGGCATTTATCATGGAAATGAAAGGTGATTCCACCGAAAATGTCACAAAAGACTCGCACCAGAGGTGTTCGATACCTGAACTCTTAATTAATTCTTTTCACCCAAATTGTTCAACAGGAATTTATCATTAAAACGGATAGTGAAAACTTGACACATTTTCCCCTCATGGAAACATTTTAACATAGTCTACAAATAATTAAATCAGCTTATAAAGTGCCAGTGATGTGGAACGGGTAAAACCCTCAAAACTGACAGAAAAATGTCTGAATAGCAAATATGGAAGGTGAAATTTTTCAGGTTATTTTTTGCTTTAAAACACATTAAATGACGGAGGTTATGTTTTGAATCTGGAGGCCAGAGCAATTGTCTTTCTCACCATGATTGGGTTTTTATTTTGTTTATTCTTTGCTTGAATGAATATGGGGTTTTGTCATGTCGGGAGGATTCATACAGAGCAGTGTTAAGTAAGATATGTCTGATTTTCTAAAAAAAAAAAAAAATCTCAAGGTAAGGCTCATTGTTTTGTGAGGTCAGCCTCACAAATTTGGCAACAAGGAGGTCTACTGAATTATCAAGGTCTGTTTCTGTCTTTGTTAAGCATGCTATCTTTATGCTGCAAAACATGGAGCTGCTGCATTATGGGAAGTCTACAGGACTAAGTGGAACCATCAGTATTTCCAATCAACAGCTGCATTGTTTGCTTGATGGTATGAAGTGTGGTTCCTATTTCAGGTTGAGATAAACTCTGCTGTTGCAATCACTGTGTTGGAACACTATGATTCACAGTTAGTTGTGTAATTGCAGATCTGAGGAAAAGAAAATTCTGCTTCCAGTCATGTTTCTGAATGTGAGTCTGGTTTGTGTCCATGTAAGATTTAATATTCCCTTTTCACATCACCTTAATTTCTGTCTCTCTGGGTCTCTTCTGTTGGAAATACAAACATAAACCCAAAAACTACAACAACAACTTAAAGGGGAACTAATGTTTTTTTCAACCTGGGCCCTATTTTCCGATCTACTTTTGTCTAAATGAGTGACAGGATGTTCAATATGTGACATTTCTCCAGTATGAAGCTAGGGCTGACCTGCCTGCAGCCCGTGAGCGCACGCTATATTAAATAATAGGGCACTCAGACAGCGTCAAACAACGTCAAAATACGTCCACTAAAAGTGCATTTTTTTCACACAGATAGGCTCGGATTGTTAGTATAATTATCTGACAACATAACGGAAAGGAGAAATGAACGTCTGTGTTTACCTTTAGCTGGATTCAGACATGTTCCTCTGCCTGTTGCTGCTCCCTCTCTCTCCTCGTCCGCTCTTCAGTTTCAATGAGCTCTGCATCTGTGTACTCCGTGTTCAAATAAATACGGGTGGTCATCAAATTCAAGCGGTCCATCCAGATCCAGTTGGTCAAAATCGGGTAAAAATTTGGACATGTTTGTTGCGGCAAGTCAAAACACTCACTCAGAGAGTGAAAGTCTGGCTCTGAAATATCACGTCTCGCGAGATTTGAGTTGTTGCAGGAAGTTACCGCTGGACTGACCTTACAAACGCGAGGAGTTACTCTGTTTGGAGTAGCCATGGCTGACTCCTGTCACTCATTTAGACAAAAGTAGATCGGAAAATAGGGCCCAGGTTGAAAAAAACATTAGTTCCCCTTTAAGGTTAAGAGGAAATGGAGCTCAGTTGGTAGCAGTCTGTCAATTGCTGAAGAAAACCACCCACCTGCTAAATGACATTTTGCAAAAGCTTAGCTTAGCTTAGCATAAAAACTGGAATCAGCAAGACACAGGTAAACCAACCCGGTCTCACTCCGAAGTCGTCAAAATCTGGTGCTCAGCTAATGACTTGCGGCATCAGACACTGATGACAAAACCTGACTTTTAACGTCTGCATGATACACAGCCAGTTGCCCTTATAGTTTAACGGCGCCTGGCAGCATCAGAGGGAAACGTGGCAGGACAAGGTGGTGAAAGTCCAAGTAGGGCGGGCAGAAAGGGTGGTGGATAGGTCCAACAAACACCGGGAGAGTGGCGTTTGCGTCCCATAAGATTATACCACGTGTGTCAATCATCAATTTGTGGTGTTGTACTGACTTAGGGCATTTATTTTGAAAGAGACTGCATGTAAACGGGAAACTTCCTGTGAAAACTGAAGTCTGAAGTGTATTTTGAAAGAAGACAATGCATGTAGCAGGCAGAACTTGACACAGCATCCCAGAACGTCAACAACCAACACACCCAGGGTAAACTGGCTCTGTCCAAAGGAACAAACTCCACCTGCCAGGACACCTGAAGCTCACTATATCTTTGTTGTTTAATCTCTGCAAAAACCAAATGACAATTTGCCACTTTACAGGTGGTTTGTGCTGGACTTTCCCCTGGCACTGAACGCCAGGAAGTAACTGCTAGTCTGGCACACACAACCCCCCCAAAATCAGAATTTGTAGTCTACACTTTGGGTTTTGCACAAAGCCAACAAGCAAGATAAAACATGTTCATCTGTGAGTGTAAGGAGGCTTTCACATCTGGGACCTGGGCCAGTATCCGAGTACTGTTTGTTCCATTAGTGTGAACACTGTGTATAGTATCTGGGGACGATTTGCAGATCAGTGCCTGAGTCCACTTAAAAAGATGTACTTGAGTCTGGTTCATGTGTACTCCAGTTAGTTATGCATCAGGTGTCAACACCCACTGTACCAAAACACA